AAAGGGTGATGGGTGTCTTGTTAGGCTTTGCTGTAGACCACTGAGGCATCCTCCTGCCTCTGCTAGGACTAAAAGCAATCTAATCTACCTGTCTAGACAAGGCTTTGCACTGGTCTGATCCCTTCCTTTGGTGCTGCTTGTGACATCCAGAAATTTGACAAGGAAAGCAATTATTGATCAGTCTGAAGTGTGTTTTGCAGTGATAATTGTCTAAGCATGACTGAGTGATGCCCCTGTAGATAGGTGCTTACTTATTTCCTGATGCATGTCATCCTCAGAGCAACAGAAACACTGATAAGAGAGAGGACAAAATGACTAACTTTGATGGAGTTTGTGTTGAAACATCTGCTGCTTGTCAACATAGGAGGTAGAAGCAGTGATTTATTAGTAATAAAGAAGGAAAACCCATGAAACTCCAATTTATTCTTCCTCTAAAGTATTTTCTACGAATGCCCAGTTAGTTTCCATAAAGGGAAAATGCTGCCCCATTACCTGTATATTTTTACTTTGCTTACATTATTACTTACATGATAAGTAATAAGTATTTACTTTAAGACATTGAGTAACTTCTGGCAATTAAGAAACCTGGACAACAAAGTCACTAAATAGAACAGTGAAAATCTATGGAGAAGTCATATTTTGGTCATTTAGATTTTTTCTCCTTCCTAGAACCTAATATTTTTTAGGATATTGAACGAAATGTAAATGAGAGCAAAGATATTTCTGACATTTCCTATTCTGTGAATACATACCAAATACAGACCTGTAATTTTCCCCCTTTGTTTTTGTGAGAGTAATTTTGTTTGGATTAATCCTTTCTTTCAGGCTCAGCTCTGCATGAGCACTCTGCAGAACTCTGGCTTCCATACAAAGAGGAGCTCAGAGAGGAACTGGCCTCCAGAAAGCCAAAATTACATCAAAGTACTTCCCCAGAACACGGTGGCATGTACAGAGTTGGGGTACTGCTGCCAATAGGAGGAGGGCACACACCTTTTCTTTTACACATTTTAAGCCCAGAAGAACAAAAGGTCTTTGAAAATCACATCCATACAACTGAGGCACAGAAAAGGGATGCAGTCCAGGAATCTGCTCTTCTCTTCAGTGCATATGCATGGCAAATAGATGGGCATCATCTCTTTAATGAAAGGGTGTAGCTCTTGCAATATTTATACCACCAGGATGCTAAACATACAACTCCCAAAAGATAAAACCTCAAAACCATAGATGCCTTGGTTTAACTGGGACATTAAGAAATGAAGAAGTGTTAGAAATAAGAAAAAGCAGTCATGACAGCATGATGCTTTTAAAAAGAAATTAGTCATCTGTCTGCCTGCCTTTGTAATTTAAAGAATAAAGCTATGTCTACGTCAAACAAGTATTTTTTTTTCCCCCAGAGGACATAGGGTTTAATCAAGATTTACTACCTTAGTAACCTTTTGTAAATGGTGAGGCATGACTGACAGAAGAGTAGGACTCAAAAAAGAAGATATTTAGGTTCAAATTCAGGTGTAAAGATGTCAATCTTACTAATGCAAGTTAGTGTGAGTATATATATTGATTTAAATTGTGCATTTTCTATAGTCTGTGCAAGCAGGGAGCAGGTCATAAGTTGAAAGTAGAAAAACAAAGTAAATGTCTGTTTTGGTAAATCACAACAATGCCTGAAGGAGGTCTCATTCCACGTTTTGGGTCTCATTCTGATCCTGCCAACATTGCATCAGCATTATTCTGTCTATTAAAACTACATTAGTGTTCTGTTGGAAATGAAAGTGCTTCAGTTAAACTTTCTTCAGACATTTTTTTGTCTGAAAACCTTTAGACTTATTTTCCTTTCTACTCTTTTTAAACAATAAAGCATCAACAAAACATCAGGTTATTTGCAGGTTCTGGAATATTTTTGCTTTTCACAAAAGCAAATGGGTTGGAATCTACTTCTCTGTTCTCATTCATCAGGTACTTCCATCGTAAAAAATGGTATGTGTATAGCAAAGATTGTTTTTTTTTTTTTTTTGCTTTTTGTGCCACATAAAATTACATCTAAGTGGTCCAATTATTGCGTTTTAAACAATTTTAAATCTATTTTAGTTATATGTAAATTAATTTTTAGTATCATAATAAACAGACACTAAAGCCCTGTGAGGGAGGAAAAAGCCCCACACACTTGCAAGCAAACAATTCAATCCTGCATATTAATCTGTCCCTTTAAATAAACAGCAATAATTAAGAGGAGTTGGGCACCTTGTTGTATTGTACAGAGACAGGGCTTGAACACTGGCACTGTAAAATGCCATCTTTCAGCTTCTGCACTTCTGGACCCTTCAGAGCCATGAACTGACATTTGCAATCTTTGTCAGTCAAAAAAAAATGGCAAATTCACTTAAATTTAGTTCTGCCATTCAAATGGAATGAAGGTCATCACCTACCCCTTTTTGATTTGATTATCCAGGGACTGAGTTTATTTTCCTGAAGAAAGACACATTAAAAGGTCCCAATTCTGCAACTCTTGCCCCATCTCAGCAGCTCAATTGTCCTAAATTATTAATCATTAACTGACTTAGCTACTGCTGTTTATCTAAGAGTACAGATTATTATATAGTTCTGAGCTGCTCACTTAAGTGTTTTTCCTTTCCTAGAGCTCTCACAACCATTCTGAAAAACAATTAAATACACTTTGAAATAGCAAAAATGAGTATATTAAAGAAATAGAATTTATAATTCAATTACCTGGCTTATTCAAATGCTGTAGTTACATATGGCTTACATTACCCAAAACACTTTTATTGATGTCATTCATGTAAATAAAGGCTACAGGTCCAATCCCTCTACCCAAGAAGACTAGGTCACTCTGAAGCAAGCTCCTGAATTACAAACCATTAGGTGTACAAAGGCTGGACCAAAGCATCATGTTTGCATGGAGAAACATGCTTGTTGAAAAGAAGAAAACATAGGTTCCTCAATCCTCTCTGTATGCTGCTCCTGACTCTCTGGCGTTCCTCTCTCATCTTCAACATTTGGGGGTTAGGAGTGCAGCAGATTATAGGCATCAATTTTTGGCCCAGTGCTTCTTGTAAGAAGTGGGTTTCCTGAGGTTACTATGAGACTGAATTTGGCAGAAGCCAAAATCAAGAATACAGCAATGCCAGTGACAGAGCAGAGAGAAAGTCTGCCCTGTGGAGGTGGACTCCTTCATGGATTAAAAACTATCTGTAACAGGGAGAGTATTTAATTCTTTTCCTGCCGCACTGAACTCCTAATCACTTCTCCTTCCAGGGACAGCCACATCAGAAACACCCTGAGAGACCTCAGCAGAGCTGGCAGTACCGCCTTGAATACTTCCTGTTGCAGATGGGACCTAGGATGGGTTTCCTAACAACTTTGGCAATATACCAAAACAAGACCTCTGGGGATAATATTAAGGATTTCTCAATAGTTAGCACATAACCTGCTATCTGAATACACAGGCAGGTTTTTATAATGCATTTTTTCCCTATGCTGCACTGAAGGGGACATCCTATAGGTGTACGATAGTTCAGGGTTCCAGTGTTGCAGTGCTCTGCCATGAAATAAGAAAGCTCATTCATTAGCATATGAATCAGCTCTCCACAGAAAGTGGTAGAACTGCAGGAGAGGAAAAGCCATTTTGCTTTAATAATAACAGCCTGTAAGAGGCAATCCCAGGTACAAAATGATCAAGTGACCAGAGCCAGTTCAGTGAAGAATGATAGCATTTTATGCTCAACACTTCAAGATTAAAGTCTTTAGTTAGCTAAGCATAATGTGAATCAGTTTCATGTATAATGCATTGTGTGAGCCTGTAGCCACTGTGATACAATGTAAGCAATTCCATTTAGTGCAATTTGACTATAGCTAGTACAGAATAATTGGAGTCAGTTTCTAGCATGCTAGAATTTGAGTCAAATATGATATGGAAAAGAATTTGATACATAATAATATGGAATCAAAGATAACAAGCAATGATGTGGATGAATTGTTAGTAAGTTATAATATAATACAGAAGTCATTTTAATAAGGTGTGATGTGATTATGAATCCAGTGTTCTTATACATAGACAAAAGTCTTATCCATAATGGTAAAGAAAGGCAACTGTTAGGAAACAGCACAAATAACAGCACCACAGCTGCATTTGAGGGTAACCTGACATTGAATACTGCAGTTTTCTCAAATATAAGAGTGATGGAATAAACATCTACCAGAGAATAAACATGTCTACTAAAGTGAGCACAGAACACGTTCAGAGCAGTTCTTCACGTTGGAGGGGTGGTGTAAATGCTGCACTGGGTGATTCTAACTCCTGCTCAGGAATTCAGCCCTTTTTATTATTTTTCTACCATTATTAGAAGCAGTTGTGATAGTTCTAACCCCTTTAGTACTCTGGGCCTTAATTTTACAATCTGATGTGCTAATACAACAGTTTAAAGACGTGCCTCTTCCATGAGATTAATAATGTATGATTAGTTAAAGTACTACAGCATTTTCAAGTAAGCACATAAACATTAACATGACAGATCTACACATAAACATTTCTAAAATTACTTCTGAAAACAAAAAAAAATTCTATTATTGTGACCTGTGATTCCATTGTCCAACAGACAATAGTTCATTGAATTTTTTTTTTATCTTCCTAACTTTTCACTAGTCTAACCCTGTGTACATGAGAAGAGCTCATTTATGAGCATGTGCTAATCAGTTCTGACTACAAGTTTAAGTCATCCCTGAGCAAACAGAAAACTATTCAGCTTAGCAATAAAGTTAAATAATTATTACCAGGCTATGCGATGTGACTACAATGTGACATTGAAATGACTATGGTGTGATTAGAATAAGAATGTTATATGCCTGTGATGTTACTAGAATGAGGCTATAAAACGTCTGTGATGCCATACTGCTGTGATATGACTAGTGTCAGGAAAAATGTGTGTATTATTCATGCATACATAAACATGCCGTATTTCAGAAGCAGACTGCATTACACAGAATGCTAGCAGTTTGAATTATCACCTTTATTAATGGCTATTCTGCTTTGTATTTTAAAAGACAAAAGAACTGCACACTTAATTCATTCACAGAATTCTTTTTCTAAGTGGTTTGGCAGTAAGGTTGCTCCTTCATGTCACTTGCTTCACTTTCAATGCCAGGGCTCTAGCCATCCTTCTTGTATTACATAATGAACATTTTTCTTAAACTATTATTAGATCCAGTTCCGTTTTCTAATGTTACTTGATGTCATCAAAACCAGGATCAATTTTTTTTTTCTGTGTAACAAGAGTATTTTGGACACAACTACAAAGCACAGCAAAACTGAAAATGTTTAATCTTTATGCATCATGGGATCACAGGATGTGCAATGCTCACATACAGTGGCTGCATCCATATGACTTCCAAGGATATGTACATTTATCAGTATGTAGCACACAATTCCAAGCCATGCAAATTTCTGACCTCTGAGTGGTACAAGCAGCTCCCACCATTTTTTAATAGTGCATCCTATGTGCAGACACATATGGGAGTCTAAGAGCCTGCATGTGAAAATGTAAAATCCTCAAGGTAGAACTTCAATCTTTAGCTCACCAGTGCTGTCCACTGAAAATGTGCAAATGAAATAGTACCACATACAGAAAAAAGTCAAATGCTGATGTTATCTTTGTTTTTTTCCTATGCATATATATTTGAAAGACTTAACCAGAAGCAACAGCCAGCATGGCCACGTACCTGAGCATACTAAATTGGATAGGTTCTAGCATACAGCTTGTAGATTCAAGCTGAGAAAAGCTAGCAATAAAAGCACAGTCAATAAAGGTTCATTCATACTTCTGAAAACGTTGAAAAAGGCACTACATATAATGCACTATAGATAATGCACTATAATCATCTTCTTGTCACACTTTTGAGGTCACTCATATCATAATACATTGTCATTTTATTACAGTGTCTTCCAGGCATGTGATGCTTCTTTGTGGCTAGCTGGATAATTTACCTGTGTCATTTATGGAGAGGGCGAAACGATCACTTTTATTATTTATCAAACCACAGAGAGAAGGAATCTTTTCCATTTCAATGTTTAAGCAGACAAAACCCAAACCAGCAGAGTAGCTCTCTCCCTCCCTTGGCGAGTGTTTCGGCTGACCCTTCGGGAAAGGGAAGGAGAAAGGTGTGCAGGCGTAAATGGGAGCCGAGACAGGGCTGGAGTCAGAGCAGCCTGAATTATAGATGAAAGGGCATGTATTAAATATAAGGCCGAAGCGGGCGAAGGCGGGCCGGGGCTGGCGATTGCCTCCGAACCTGCGTGCGCCGGGGGCGGCCCCGCGGCCACCGCTGCGCTCCGCGCCGGGCCCGACTCGCACCGCGGGCGGCCGCGCTGCCCCGCGCAAGCGACACCGAGCACGCACTGAGACATCCCCGCCCCCCAACCTCAAACCACACCACCAACCCAAACGCACACCGAGCCCTTCTTTCCAAATTACCCCACAGCCCCGCGCAAGCCCGACGCTGCTTTCCGCGCCCTCCGCACCCCCGACCGCGGAGGAGCGCTCGCCCGCCCTCCGCCCGCGCGTGTCCGCCGCGCTCCGCCCCGGAGCGCCCCGCTCCTGCCGCGTGCCCCCGGCCGCTCCGCGCGGCGCGCAGCCCCCGCCCGCCCGGCCGGCCGCGGAGCGACGTGCCCGGCGGCCAATGCCGCGGCCGCGCTCCGCCAGCCGCCGCCCCCGCCGGCGCGGGCCAATGCGGTGCGGCGGGAGGGGTGGCCTCGCGCCGCTCCCACCTCCCTCTGGGCTTATTGAGAGTTATATCAAGAATTTCAGTTCAGAGAGAGAGAGGGAGAGGGAAAGAGCGTATGTGAGGGAGAGAGGCTGGGAGGGAGGGAGGGAAGGAGGGAGGGAGGGAGGAAGGAGGGAGGGAAAGCGCCGCCGCTTCCTCCCGTCACCAAAGCAATAACCTATTAGGATTTCTTTTTTTTTTTATTTTTTTTTATTTTATTTTTTTGGGTAACTGTCACCCCAGAGCTAAAGAGGGAGAAGCACCGCCAGACCAACTCTTGCCATTTCCAGTCAGAAGTTGCAGACTTGATGTAGCTGCCTCTGCTCTGCCGAGAGAGGGACGGGAATGGTGTGCAGTGCAGAGTGGAAAATACCCCCGCTCTAAGAAGTGCACCGGATTTTTCTCTTGCTGTTTGTTTGGGTTGTTGCTTGCACGTTAGGCACCCAAAGGATCGCCGTTTCACAGGAATGAAACGTGGAGAGGATGACTAACGACAGAACTGCGAATTTGTTCCCTGGAGTTGCTAATTTGCCACCCCGAAGCAACACATATCTCGAGGAGGAAGCGTTTGGCTGCTGCTGATTTCTCCAAAACTGGTGGTTTACCAGATGCATTGTGCTGTATCTGCTGGAACAGATCATTGCTTAGCTGCAGCAGATCGTCAAAGGTAGACAACTAACGTAAGTGCAAACTTACCCTTAAGCTGGGATGCATTTCCTTTAAAGAAAAAAAAAAAAAAAAANTGTGCCTCAAACCTGTCTTAGGAGACAATGACTGCAGAAACATCTCAAGTTTCAAACTGGAGGCACCAAAGACAAAATGACAAACATATTTTAAGAACTGAGAAACAGCTGCTTATAAGGTTTAAACCAAAGATGAAGCAACAATTCAAATCATAGAAGTTTCAGTTGCTTAATATATTAATGGCATATCAATAGCCATTAATATGTTTGCGTAATTTATTACAAAATTACAGCACATAAAAGAAGTAAGTCTAAAATAAAATTAAATATACAAGTAAGGTATATATAAAGCAAAAGTATATGTGCATATGCATTTAAAAACAGAAATAAACCCAGTCTGTAATTAAAAAGTGAATTTCAAAGCTAAGATTCCAATACCAAAAAAAAAAAAAAAAAAAAAAAAAAAAAGCCAACGCACAGTATATTTATCTAGGGAAAGAATCAGTGTTTGGGATTCTGTTGATGTTGGTGGGAAAGGCTCACCTACTCGCTGTCTCTGCATCCCTACCTGCATTACTCTGCTGGAAGTAATCACAGGCATCAGTTACTGTGCAGCTTAATGCAGATAAGATTAGTGCTTAGGGCTGCCTAGTTCTGTCAAACTGTAGGTGCTGGCAGCCTTGCACCCCGATAATGTGCAGTTAGCAGTGCATGCAAACAGAAGTCTGTCAGTCGCTTTCCTTTTTTTTTTTTCTTCCACCTGCATTATTAGTCTGCAGTATTTATATGTGACAGCTGCTAATATCATCCTGAAGGGAGACCAGTGTTAATGGGGAAAGGCTTCACCTTTTTTCCTCTTCATATAATCACAAAATATATATTCTATCTGTAAGCATACTTCCTGCTTCTAAGTTACATTTGGAATTTCTAGCCTCCTGATTTAGACTGTGTTAAAAAAAAAATAAAGTTTTAGGTTATTAAACAGAAGGAGAAGTATCCAACATCTGGAGAAGAAACACTGAGCTGAGACTGTAAGAAACTGTAAGTCCTGTTATTGTCTCATCAGTTAACAGGGATGTGAAGTAGCCAGTGACGACTGCTGCAGCAGCAGCATGTCCGGGTGGTTATTTCCCAGTACGATAGCTACAGAGGGGTATGCAAGGTACAGCGAGCAGAAAAAAATCTGGTTAGCAAGAGCTAAAAAATACATATGGAAGCAAGCAGCAAATTACATTTGGCGGCTGGCATAGCAGTTAGAATCTAAGTAGTCCGGGAAGGTTTTTTACTTGCACCAAATGACTGGGTGGAGGAGGGTAGAGGGGGAATGCACTTTATGGATTACATGGTGTACCAAGAAATTATTCAGAAAGTACGTGTCGAAACAGTAGCTACCCTTAATCCTGCAAGTAGTTATTTTCATTTGTGCTCTGAGCAAATGCAGCCGGTGGGATATTGGTGCATTTGTCCGGAGGGCTTGCCTGTAAAAGGGAGCAGTAGGAAAATGTACTGCTGCAAGTGTGCATTGCAAAAACAAGTAGTAGTTGGAGATTGTGGATTTATCATGCCTAAAAAAACAATAATGCTGTTCTGTGTGGTTGTGTTGACAGTGATGTCTCCAAATAAGAAATGAGATGTAATGCATCCTGCAGTCCATGCATGCCTCCTCTTGCAAATCGCGCATCATTCCTCTCTGGAAACCTTTAAGTCCTAAAATCTGTGAAAAGAGAATAAAAACATTATCATGGACCTGAGGGATTTTTACCTGTTGGCCGCTTTGATTGCCTGTTTAAGGCTGGATTCTGCTATAGCTCAAGAACTTATTTACACTATTAGAGAGGAACTGCCTGAAAACGTGCCCATAGGGAACATACCAAAGGACCTGAACATTTCTCATATCAATGCTGCCACAGGGACCAGTGCCAGCCTTGTCTACAGACTGGTGTCTAAAGCAGGGGATGCACCTCTGGTCAAAGTGTCCAGTAACACAGGGGAAATCTTTACAACATCTAACAGAATAGACAGAGAAAAACTATGTGCTGGAGCTTCCTATGCAGAAGAAAACGAATGTTTCTTTGAACTTGAAGTAGTGATTCTCCCCAATGACTTTTTTAGGCTGATCAAAATAAAAATCATTGTAAAGGACACTAATGACAATGCACCTATGTTTCCATCCCCTGTCATCAATATTTCCATCCCAGAAAACACTCTGATCAACAGTCGCTTTCCAATCCCATCAGCAACAGATCCTGACACAGGTTTCAATGGCGTGCAGCACTATGAGTTGTTAAATGGGCAGAGTGTCTTTGGACTGGATATTGTAGAAACTCCAGAAGGGGAGAAATGGCCTCAATTGATTGTGCAGCAGAACTTGGACAGAGAGCAAAAGGACACCTACGTGATGAAAATCAAAGTAGAGGATGGAGGTACCCCCCAGAAATCCAGCACAGCTATCCTGCAAGTCACAGTAAGTGATGTCAATGATAACAGGCCAGTCTTTAAAGACAGTCAAGTAGAGGTCCATATACCAGAGAATGCCCCTGTAGGCACCTCTGTAATTCAGCTTCATGCTACAGATGCTGATATAGGAAGCAATGCAGAAATCAGATATATTTTTGGTGCCCAAGTCGCCCCTGCAACCAAAAGATTTTTTGCTTTAAACAACACCACAGGGCTGATTACAGTTCAGAGGTCCTTAGATCGAGAAGAGACCGCTATTCACAAAGTGACAGTGCTGGCTAGTGATGGTAGCTCTACACCAGCTCGGGCAACTGTCACCATCAATGTCACTGATGTAAATGATAACCCTCCTAACATAGACCTCAGGTACATAATAAGTCCCATCAATGGCACAGTGTACTTATCTGAGAAAGATCCCATCAATACAAAGATTGCCCTAATTACGGTTTCAGATAAGGACACTGATGTGAATGGCAAAGTGATCTGTTTCATTGAGAGAGAGGTCCCCTTCCACCTGAAAGCAGTTTACGACAACCAGTATTTGTTAGAGACCTCTTCCTTGTTGGACTATGAGGGCACCAAAGAATTTAGCTTTAAAATTGTGGCTTCTGATTCTGGCAAGCCCAGTTTGAACCAGACTGCCCTGGTAAGAGTTAAGCTGGAGGATGAAAATGACAACCCTCCGATTTTCAGCCAGCCTGTAATTGAGCTGTCAGTTTCTGAAAACAACCGGCGTGGTCTATACTTAACAACTATTAGTGCCACAGATGAAGACAGTGGGAAAAATGCAGACATTGTTTATCAGCTTGGTCCTAATGCCTCCTTTTTCGATCTGGATCGAAAGACAGGAGTGTTGACAGCCTCCAGAGTTTTTGACAGAGAAGAGCAAGAACGTTTCATTTTCACTGTTACGGCCCGAGATAATGGCACCCCTCCTTTGCAGAGTCAAGCGGCTGTAATTGTTACTGTGTTGGATGAAAATGACAACAGTCCCAAATTTACTCATAATCATTTCCAGTTTTTCGTATCAGAGAACTTACCAAAGTATAGCACAGTGGGGGTGATCACAGTGACTGATGCAGATGCCGGGGAAAATAAAGCAGTGACCCTTTCCATCCTGAATGACAATGAAAACTTTGTGCTGGATCCATACTCTGGAGTTATAAAGTCCAACGTTTCTTTTGATAGAGAACAGCAGAGCTCTTACACCTTTGATGTTAAGGCAGTGGATGGAGGGCAACCTCCTCGGTCTTCTACAGCAAAAGTAACAATAAACGTGATGGATGTTAATGATAACAGTCCTGTTGTCATCTACCCACCTTCTAATACTTCTTTTAAGTTAGTGCCACTCTCAGCAATTCCAGGATCGGTGGTAGCTGAAGTCTTTGCTGTGGATATAGACACTGGCATGAATGCTGAGCTGAAGTACACGATTGTAAGCGGCAATAACAAGGGTTTGTTTCGGATTGATCCAGTGACAGGTAATATCACTCTGGAAGAAAAACCAACTCCTAATGACGTGGGGCTGCATCGCTTAGTTGTCAACATAAGTGATTTGGGTTATCCCAAATCCCTGCATACTCTTGTTCTTGTATTTTTATATGTAAATGATACTGCTGGAAATGCCTCTTATATTTATGACTTGATACGCAGGACTATGGAAACACCTTTGGATCGGAACATAGGGGACAGTAGTCAACCCTACCAAAATGAGGACTATCTCACAATCATGATTGCTATTGTGGCTGGTGCCATGGTTGTCATAGTGGTGATATTTGTCACGGTTCTTGTTCGCTGTCGACATGCGTCCAGATTCAAAGCTGCCCAGAGGAGCAAGCAAGGTGCTGAGTGGATGTCTCCCAATCAGGAAAACAAGCAAAACAAGAAAAAGAAAAGGAAAAAAAGGAAATCTCCAAAGAGCTCCCTTTTGAACTTTGTGACCATTGAGGAGTCCAAACCTGATGATGCAGTTCATGAACCTATCAATGGGACAATAAGCCTTCCAGCAGAGCTGGAGGAGCAAAGTATAGGAAGATTTGATTGGGGCACAGCACCACCATCAACCTTTAAGCCTAACAGTCCTGATCTTGCCAAGCATTACAAATCTGCCTCTCCGCAGTCTGCTTTTCATCTCAAACCTGACACTCCAGTTTCAGTGAAAAAGCACCATGTGATTCAGGAACTCCCGTTGGACAACACCTTTGTTGGTGGTTGTGACACCCTTTCCAAACGCTCTTCCACTAGTTCAGATCACTTCAGTGCCTCAGAGTGCAGTTCCCAAGGAGGCTTCAAGACAAAGGGCCCCTTACACACCAGACAGGTAAACGAGCACTTTTACTGGTCTATAAGTACTGCATACAAGTGCCCGATCAACCAGTATTAAAAGTGCCACTGTGTTGTGGGTTGTTTTTGGTCTTTTCTTTTTTTTTAATTATAATTTAATTTAGTTAACTTTATGGGGGGAAAAAAAAAAAACTAAATCAAATGCCAAAACCAAAACCAAACAAACAAAAACCTTGACCTCTTTATCATTTACCTGGGGCTTAACCATGTGTTTGCAAAATGCCTCTGATAGTTTGGGTTTTGAAGAATTTTGATTTTTAGAGGACTGTTATGCCTCCGTGCCTGTGCACATACATGTGCATAAGCAAAACTGATAAAAACCCTTTTTTTTTCTCCCCAGTATTTAACTGTCCAATTGTAAAACTTATTTAAGAGCTGTTCCTGTATGTGCTCAATTTCAGTCAGAAATTTGACTGTTTCAAGGTTGAATGGATATATACATTGTTTCAAATTTCAAAGCGAGTTGGCTTGAATTTCTTTTTCTGTTCAAGCTGATTTGGAACCTTGCTAAGTTAGTGTTGCTAAAAGGGTTAATGTTTTTTTCCCTAACAAAGACAGCCAAATTTCCAAACTACTTGACTAGTGAAGCACGTGGTTTATTGGTAGGATATAACTAAGCCATATGTAAGTCTTCCTCTTGTTTGAGTTCAACCTGATTTTGTTGCAATAGATGGAAGTTGGTATCACATAGACAGTTTGCTGCATATTTTAAAAAATGGCCAAAGCATACTTTTGAAAGGAATGCGTTCTCTGAATACATCTGAATTATGCAGGAAAAAGAAAAAAAGTCAGTCCATTGTAAATATTTTCTCATCTTAGTAATGCATAAGCGATCTGACATATCTCATTTTAAACTGTGAAACACACCATATGAAGAGGGATTAGGAAGCTGAGAGACTCATATTTCAACCAAATCCAGCATTAGGTGTTTGTTTTCGGTTT